TCCTGTCCCCTGATCATCTTTGTTGTGCTTCTCTGCACTCTTTCTAGAGTCTCAACATCTTTTTTACATCGTGGTGACCAAAACTGGATGCAGTATTCCAAGTGTGGCCTTACCAAGGCCTTGTAAAGTGGTATTAACACTCCACGTGATCTTGTTTCTATCCCTCTGTTAATGCAGCCCACCACTGTGTTGGCTTTTTTGACAGCTGCAGCAAAGGCTGGCTCATATCTAAGTGATTGTCCACTAGGACTCCGAGATCCCTCTCACAGTTGCTACTATTGAGCAAGGTACCCCCGATACCCGTGGTGGCGAACCTATGGCACATGTGCCACAGGTGGCATGCAGAGCCCTCTCTGTGGGCACCTACACTCAGGCTCTAAAAGGTTCACCATCACTGCCCTAAGTGGAATTTTCCTCCAATGCGATTTTCCCAAACATAGATAGGGCAGACTAGAAAAGTCAATGCCTTTCTAACCATACCCAAGCACTCCGAATTTGTTGGCGATGTCCATTTTGCTCTCCAAGTTCATAGTGACATAACCCTAACCCTAAGTCCATGGTGGTGAACCTATGGCACGCTTGCCACAGGTGGCATGCAGAGCGCTCTCTGGGCCGTCGCCCCAGTGCTAGGCCTTCAGCTGGGTTCTTTAGTTCACAAAGCATGATTTCTCCCACTAACCTTTGCTCCACTTCTTTATTTCTCCTTAGTTCTAGGTTGCTTCTCTCTTTGGTTAGTTTCCATCCGTTGCTTCTCGTCCTGCCTTCAGGGGCTTTGGAGAATAGCTTGACTCCCTCTTCTTTGGGGCAGCCCCTGAGATATTGGGACACTACTATCATGTCACCCCTCGTCCTTCTCTTCATTAAACTAGACATACCCAATTCCAGCAATTGTTCCTTATATGTTTTAACCACCTGTCCCCTAATCATCTGTTTTCATCTCTAATCCTCTAATCTTCCTGTTTTCTTGCAGATGTTTCATTACCCAAACCTAAGTAACTTCCCCAGTGGGTAATGAAACGTCTGCAAGAAAACAACCAAGTTCAGACAGCACCAAGGACCCGTCAAGGCTCCATCTGTGGAAGGAATGGGATGCTGGTGGTGGGAAAGATCCCTGTTATGTTGAGCTGACTGGATTGCTGAGTCAAGGCATTGCGTCAGCTGAGGAACAGAAGGCAGTGGGAAACGGATCTTCTCCCTTTTTCTCCAAGCGGTTCAGCTGATTCACAAACTTCTGTTGCCAAGAGTGTAGTGGTGGACTTTGTGCCAGGGATTATGTGCCAATATTTTGCTCGACAGCGAAATGAGCAACAGAACGTGGAAACATCCCATGCGAATACCTGCTGATGTTGATCACAGGTTGCAGACTGTTTCAGCAGAAGTAAAGACATCCCAAACTGGAACATTTTAATTGCAATTATTGGGAGCAGCTAGAATAATCAAATATGGTTCCTGTGTGTTTGGGTATAGCACGTTACGAACTTACGTTTGTGTAGGCCTGTCGCACTTCCTTTTAGGATATGCAGAGCAGAGAAAGTATAAAAAAAAAATGTACCACAGAAAGTCAAGATATTAAAAAAAAGGAAAAGAGAAGGAAATAAATCTTAAGTTTGGGTTACCAATATCTTACCATATCTTGCTAATTTTGCAAACTATCCGTGCTTTTATTACATCTATGTACCATATCATCTACTTCATGGGTGTCAAACTCGTGATGTCACGTGACGTGTCACTACGTATCATGACTTTTTTCCTATTGCTGGCAATGGGGTGGGCGCGGTTTTGGCCGTGACGCATCCGACCTGCAGGCCGGCAGTTTGACACCCCTGTTCTACTTATATACTTACATACTTTAGACTTATATACCACTCCATAGTGCTTTACAGCACACTGAGCGGTTTACAACGTCAGCATATTTCTCCTAACAATCTGACTCATTTCCCAACCTCGGAAGGATGGAAGGTCAACCTTGAGCTTGTCAAGATCAAACTCCTGGCCATGGGCAGAGCTGAACTACAATACTGCATTCCAATCACTGCGCCACCACAGCTCAGGAACCTTTTGTAGTTGAAGAGCAAAAATCTGGTTGCACATCCATATTATGTTAAATGTTGTTGTTCATTGCAAAGTCGTGTCTGACCCATCACGACTCCATGGACAATGTTCCTCCAGGTCTTCCTGTCCTCTACGATCTTCTGGAGTCCATTTAGGCTCACTCCTCCTGCTTCAGTGACTCCATCCAGCCACCTCATTCTCTGTCATCCCTTTCTTCTCTTGTCCTCAATCTTTCCCAGCATCAGGCTCTTCTCCAGTGAGTCCTTCCTTCTCATTAGGTGGCCAAAGTATTTGAGTTTCAACTTCAGGATCTGGCCTTCTAAAGAGCAGTCAGGATTGATCTCTTCTAGGACTGACCAGTTTGAACGCCTTGCAGTCCAAGGGACTCGCAGGAGTCTTCTCCTGCACCATACTTCAAAGGCCTCAATTCAATTATGTTAAATAGTTTGGCCTAATGGTTAAGGCACCAGCCTAGAAACCAGGAGAGTGTGGATTCTAGTCTCCTTTTAGATATGAAAGCCAGATGGCTGGCTGACTTTGGGCCAGTTACCCTCTTTCAGCCCATCCTACCTCATAGAGTTGCTTGGGGGGAAAAGAGGAGAAAGGAATATTAGGTATTTTTACTGCCTTGAGTTACTTATAAAGCAGGGGTGTCAAACTGCCGGCCTCTGGGCCAGACGCATCACGAGGAAACCGCGCCCGCCCCATTACTGGCAATGGGGAAAAAGTTCCGATATGTTGCATGACGTCACGTGACGTCGCGAGTTTGACATGTCAGTTATAAAGTAATAAAAACAGGATTAAAAAATCTAATAAAATTCATTTGCAGCAAGAAGGCTGTTACGTTCGCAGGTTGGAGGCATCAAGAGGAGACGCATAGTGTAACAACAAGCCTTCTTTATTGTTGTCATCCACAACCAACAACAGCAAAAGCGACGCGCAGGCCTTTTATAGTGTCCTAGCCCCGGACAACGTTAACCAATGATTGCAGAGGCTGTTTCCCGCCTTGCACATGTGCGCAAGGCTGGAGACAGTCAGTCTGGTCCCGGGCAGCTTTTGGTCTGCCCAGGACCCTTTGCAACGTTTCTGAGTCTGCTGAATGCTTCAGTAGGCTTAAGACATAACAAAGGCTATCTAGAAATTAGCACACTGTATGAATGCAGCTGGTAACTCAGAACCCAGAGATCCCATTTATTGTAACTTATGGCTGAATTATATAAAATATTACAATGGGAAGGTCACATGGTAGGGCTGCCTTCTTATAAAGTATGAAGATTTACCCCCTAGAACAGGGGTCTTCAAACTTGGCCCTTTTAGGACTTGTGGACTTCAGCTCCTAGAATTCCTCAGCCAGGCTGCCTGGCTGAGGAATTCTGGGAGTTGAAGTCCACAAGTCCTAAAAGGGCCAAGTTTGAAGACCCCTGCCCTAGAAGGCAGGCTAAGAGGAAGGGAACAAAGTACAATTTACCTGAATTTCCTCTTTTCTCAGTAACTGAGAAGCAAATTGCATCAATGTTTTTATTGATTGATTTACATGGAATGATTTAATGGAAAATTAAAAGCTCCCAAATATAGCTATTTCTACACATACTTAATAAACTACACAGGAAATGACATTCAGACATTAAACGCAATCAACTGACTGTGGCTTAGTTAAGTTATGCAAACCAAGTTCATTCAGTTAGTGGCTCAACTTACTGTAGCAATGTTTCTCAATCTTGCCCAAAATGTGCAGATTTAACTCTGTGGGGAATTGTAGTATTTGAAGTCGGCAGATCTTAAAACTACAAAGGTTGAGAAACATTGTTATCAGGGCAATCCAGAAAGCAGGTTAATTAAAAAGTCAGTTTAAGAAGGCGCACAGGGAATAGGATTTGCATTTTAGGCTATAATTTCCTAATTGGGTTATCATTTTAGAAAAGACTTATCTGAACATAGATTTAAAAAAAGGCAGTTTCCTGGTGTGTGTGTGGAGGATGGGGTTAGTCTTAATGAGGGGCTGCCACAAAGGAGAGGGGGGGTCAAACTATTCTCCAAAGAACCAGAGGGCAGGACAAGAAACAATGTTTGGAAACTGATCAAAAAGAGAAGCAACCTGGAATTAAGGAGAAACTTCCTGACAGTGAGGACAATTAACCAGTGGAACAGCTTGCCACCAGAAATCGTGGGCGCTCCATCACTGGAGGTTTTTAAAAAGAGACTAGACAGTCACCTGTCTGAGATGATATAAATTCTCCTGCTTGAGCATTGGGCTGGACTAGAAGACCTCAAAGGTCCCTTCCAGCTCAATTCTATTTTATAGCTCAAAGGTGATGCCCTCATGAAACTGCTATTCTGTGATTAAGTGCTTTATAGCTGGACATTAAAAGTTTTTTTTTTAAATTAACACATATACATTACACATATATTAACGCACATAGCATCTTCCCTAGTTGAATGCTAATTAATATGTCTTGTTTTTTTTTCTATTTTTCAATATTTGGGTGTTTTGTATTTTAACTTGTCTTGAATAAACTCAGTATTCTTATTTAGTTTATTTTTTTCAAAAGAGCTCTTATAAGCCGGACGACTGACGGCTCGCTCGCCTTTCCGCTTCACAGGAACTCAATCCTAACTGGGTTTTGAACAAGTACAATCCTCACTAAGGACCCAAGGACGGGGACGGTTCGCACGCCAACACGTGTCCTCCCGCCGGCAGCGCCCGGAAGCGTGGCGGAAAGGGAGGCGGAAGCCGGCGGGCACCGCGTGACGCAGGCGCCGTGCTACCTGCGGGAGATCACGTGCCCGAACGGTCAGCTGACCCGCCCGGGCGCCCTTTCTTCTCTCCTCCAGGCCGCGCAGGAAAGCATGGCGCGGGTCACGTGACGAGGGCCTCCTTTTTCTCCCCCTCCCCCTCCCGAGAAAGGCTTCAGGCGAGCCCCGCCCCTTCCCCCCTCTCTTCTGGCCCTCGCCCCGTGACCGGTCCTCCCCTCCCGGCCCCGCCCCTCCCCTCGGAGCGGCTCCGGAAATGGTCGTGCTGGGCTCCGCTGCGGCTGCGTTGGGCCTCGCTCCCCGGACTGAAGGCGACTGAAAGGTAAACCGCGCGGGGCGGAGGGGGCGCCGGAGGGACGCGCGACTAGGCCGCGGCGGGGAGGGGGGCGGGGACCAGGCAGGCCCCGCCCCCTCGGGCTCTTCTCCTCCTCTCCCCGCATCGCGTCGCGCCCCGCCGGGGGACTTCGGCCGCCATTGCTCGCTCCTCCGCTTTCCCCCCCCCCCGCAGGGCCTCGCCTCAGCACCACGTGGGAGCCCTGCCCGGGACAGGCCGCGTGGAACTCGCCCCCGAGGCCGGCTCCGTCTGAGGCCCCGCTCCATTTTGTCTCCCTCCGCCGCCCTGGCCGCGTTCCCGTCGCCCAGCAGACCCGAGACCCAGCGGCTCTCTTTCCCCAACGTGCTCCGGGGCTGACGAGTGTCCTGGGAATGGGGCCACCTCGGTCCCCCGTGTTAAAACTGTGTCGTGTAAACGCGGCCTTGGCGCGGAGTTAAGAGTTTACAGCCCCCCCCCCCAGGCCAAGCCGGCGTAGCCTATAAAGTCACCGGCTGGCTGAGTCAAAGACATCCGGAGGAGGCCGGCTCTGGAGGCCTAACTCGGCCTCATTTTCTGTCGCCCTTTGGCTTTCTGGACTCTGAACTCTCAAACCTCTTGGCTGCCACCAAGACTCAACTCTTGAGTCACGGCACCCCAGTCCCTTGCTAAATACGAATTAAAAGGATTTATTGGCTTCAGGACTCTTAGGAAATATAATGAAACGCTGCCCTTCCTCTAAGTAAATTTAGCTTTTTGTTCAACCTTTCCGCGTGTGAGGAATGCCGAGATCTCCTCTCCCCTCTGCAAGGCAGAAATGACGCGATTGGAGGCACATAAACCTGGTTTGGCTAGTTCTCTGTGGCAAATTGTCTCCATTAGCTGGACTTTTTTTTTTTCCCTGTGCTATTTCGTCGTTTGAAGCTTGAGCTTCCCAAACAAATATGCCCTCAGCAATGGGGTAGTACTGAGATCAAGATCTGTGTTTGCATTGGTTCTTTTTGAAAAGCTGTTGAGCCTTAATTTGAGTGGTATATGAAAAAATATTTCCTTTCCCTGCTGGCTCTAAGCTGCCTACCATAAGTGGTAGCTATGCCCTCTGATGCAATAACAAAGAATCGTACCAAGCAAAGCCTTTTCTAGGGAGTCTCCATTCTTTATGTATGTATTGGTATCCTGCCTTAATTTTTACAAATAATTCAAAGCCACGAACGTATCCAACACACCTTCCTCCTCCTATTTCCCCCCCCCCAGCTACTCAGTGAGAAAGAATGACTGGCCCAAAGTCACCCAGCTAGCTTTCATGGTTAAGGCAGGACTTGAATTCGGTCTCTCACTTTCTAGCCCAGCGCCTTAATCACTAGACCAAACTGGTTCTTGCCTCTCTTCTTACACTTTTGCTGTTGGGTTAAGTTCAAAGGCCTACTCTTGTGTAGAACCAAATTGAGCAATAATTGTAAATAATTTTTGCACTAGTGAAGTGCTATACAAATGATTAATGAATCTATATACAGAACGTCCAGTTCTGCAGCTGACATTTCCCTGCAAACATCCATGGGGGTGGAAATCCCTCCCACTCTTGAATCGTGGCTTGTTGAAGGCATTAAAATTCTGTTTCCTGAACTATTTATTGCACATGAATCCATGAGCCTTGCTTTTGGACCCAGAATCCCATTATTTGGACTGCCATCAATTTTGACATGTCTGTAGTGTCTAGTATGTTGTGTCTTCATGAGCTGAGACCATGTAAACACAAAAGTTAGGAGCTCTCTTGCCTTTGAGCAGCAAAGCTACCATCTGTGTAATGATAGTTCTAGTATGCTTAAAGATGTTTGAAGTCAAACCAGCTGCTTGTATAACACATTATATTCCTAGACAAAACCTCTTTCCCCACCTATTCTTCTCCTGCATGATCTTGTTCTTGTCCCCTCCCACCTTATCTGTAGGGCCCAGAATCTAAGGCACACACTAGGATGTATTTGCCATGTTTTGCACAAAATTTGGAGAGCCTGAGCCTTCAGTTAATTGTTAACAGTATTGGTAATATTTGTAGGATGGGACTTTATAAATTTGAGTATAAGCAGCCAGGGATCTGATGCATTTCTCAGCCAGTATCTATGAGACAAACTATGTTATTGTCACATTTAATGTCTCTCTGAATTTATAGCAGCACGAGATTTTTTGCTTTTTTAAAGTGACTTATGCATCATCCTAACTTAAAATGTGAATTTCATATAAAGAAAGGATTGGTTTGATTTCACAAATTGCACTATTCTTTTGATGTGTTTCTAGGCCATTAAATGAGGGAATTTTTTGGGGAGGGAGGAGGGAGAAAATGTTTTCACTTAAATGAAACATTTTTGTTTGCAATTTCAGATCTCTCATTCTCTTCCTTCCTGGACTTCACTGATCTCAAAAAGCTATTATCAAATCATATCAAATGACGGTGGCCATGATAAAATATCTTCAAGTTGTTTCCAAGAAAACTACAGGTAGTTCTTGATGTATGACCGTACATGTAATAACCGTTCAAAATTACTCTCGTGCTGAAAAAAACTGACTTAACGACCAGTCCTTATACTTATGACCATGGCAGCATCCCCGCAGTCATGGGATCAAAATTTTTTCACTTGATAGTTGTCAAGGCTGGTATTCATGATGGTTGTTAGGTCCCAGGGTCAGGTGGTCACAATTTCCAATCTTCCCAAAGGGCTTTCAACAGTAGGGGGGGGGGGAGAGGATACCACCTTTGCTTAAGGATTGCAAGATTTGCTTAACAAACATGGTGGTTCGCTTAACAATCCTGGCAAAATACGATTGTAAAATTGGACACGATTCACATCGAACAGCCGCATTGCTTAGCAGTGCAAATTCCGGGGTCAATTGTGGTCATAAGTTGAGGACTACTTACATTTCTCTATAAAATCAGAAAATCACCTGATTCCAAGCTCACGCACAGAGAGGTTTCCAAGAAGTAAAGATGCTTGTAGAATTTCATTGTTGAGGTTTACTTTCAAACAGAAATATTATTTTGGGAAATGAGCCCCAACACATTTTTTTTTAAAGAACAAGATTTTATAGGTATGTTTACTTCTTGCGCGCCTTTCTCGAAGTTGTAAGTTGAGGTGTGATCTCAGATTTCCGATGTGCCTTCTGGTACTTTTAATCCAGAATCTGCCCTCTTCTCTTCAGTCGGTAAAACTTTAAACCTGATGACCTTAGATTGGCTCCCAAACATTTTGCTTGTCACTACGTTGAGGTTTCATGTTTCATCAAGGCTTATGCCTTTTATTAAAATGTGGCCAGGCTCCTGTTCCTTTGCCAGATTGAGCAAGTTTCTTGTAAAGCTGGGAGGGTTTTTCCTCTGCAATTAAATGTGAACTAGCGATGTACAAATATTAGGAAATAATCCCATTCTCTAAAGGTGAACATCCAAAGAGGCATTTGTTTCCCCCCCCCCCATTGCCTGTTGTAAGTTTGGCAGCCCACTATCTTTCTTTGTGTAAACTCAATGTCACTCAAAAAGATACTTTGCTGAGTACAAGTAAACTCAGGCTAACCATTGTCTCATCTGGCACCCCCTTGTTGTATCCGGCAATTCCTGTAAATACCCCCTCCTCAACATTGCCATTTTTAAAAATTGTGTACCTTCTTGGTTTGCATTTCCAGTGCTGGCTTGTACACGTAGTCCTTGACTTAACGACCACAATTATTATTATTATTATTTTGTCCCATTTTACAACCTTTCTTGCTACAAGTTAAGTGAATCGCTGCTGTTAAGTTAGTAACATGGTTATTAAGCAGTCAGCATAAGAGCCAGTAACGCTTAACTGGTCATAAAATACGATTACATGACTCTCCACACTGAAACTCATACATTTATGCCGGTTGCCAACTGTCTGAATTTTGATCGTGTGACCGTAGGGTTGCTGCAACAGTCGTCTGAAAAATGGTCCTAAGTAGAACAGCCACTAAACAAAACTGTTGTAAGTCAAAGACTACCTGTATGTCAGAAATCCGCCCCCAGCATGCTCTGTTTATGGAATTCTGAGCTTATTATCCCAGTTTAGTTTTTATTTTTTCTCAGGAGAGCTATAGAATAGGGGAGACCTCTGACTCCATGCGTTCCCAGTTCCCCCTGTCAGGAAAGGAGGGGGAAAAATATGTATTTGAATCGTGAATCAAATCTGAGCGCTCTCAACTTCGTGCCCTCCAGATGTGCCTTCTATCTGCCCCAGATAGCATGGTACAGGCAAGTCCTCAAGTTATGACAACTGAGCCCAACATTTGCGGTTAAGTGAGAAATTTGTTCTAAGTGAATTTTGCCCCCTTGTGCGGTCTTTCTTGCCACATTTGTTAAGTGGAATCGCTGCGGTTGTTAAATTAACAGGGTGGTTAAGTTAAGATGAATGAATCCGGCTTCCCCATTGACGTTGCGTGTCGGAAGTTTGCAAAAGGGGATTGATAAGCCTGACTCGGGGAACAGTGCAGCCCTCATAAAAACGTTTGAGTCCGTTGCCAAGCAATCCGAAGGTGCTGCAGTGGTCATTAAGTGGGAAAAATAAGTCGCTTAACTTGGAAGGGTCACTAAATGAACTGCTGGAAGTTGAGGACAACCTGTAATCGTGCTCCAGTTCCTTTGAAAAGGAGGGCATCCTATGGGGTAGGGTAGCCCTTGTCAGGCCTCTGTGTGTGTGTGTGTGTGTGTGTGTGTGTGTGTGTGTGTGTGAGAGAGAGAGAGAGAGAGAGAGAGAGAGAGAGTCGCTCTTCCTACTTGCAAAGACCCTTCTGCAACCTCCGTTTTTCCCACTGGGTGGGTTCCGAGGGGCTTAGAGACCCTCTTCCCCCCCCACGTGCGTTTGGGGGCGAAGGAAGAGACCCTGCTGCGGCTCGTGGGAAGGCGGGGATCCCCCATCTCTCCTCCCGGAGCTGGTTTTCCTTCCTGGCCAGCGCGCAGCTGGGGAAACAGACCCGCTTTGCGGCCGGTCCCTTCCCTGGAAGCGGCGCCAGGCCTGCTTCTTTTTTTTTCCCCCTTCTTCTTTCCCTCCTCCTCGCTAGGCCCAAAGCCCGCCGGCCCCACGTGTTCTCCTCCCTGTCCCTTCCTTCCTTCCTTCCTTCCTCCGTTCCTCGCCTTGCCCGAGGCCGTGGCGGGGTTGGCCTTGGCGCGGCTCCTCCTCCTCCCCTCGCCCCTCCCCTCGCTCGCTGGCTGCCGCCGCTGCTGCCACCGCGCCGGTCCTCGGATCGGCGTCCGCCTCTGCGATCCGGCCGGCCCCACGTGCTTCAGGGCTGAAATCGGTAAGCTGGGTCGGTAAGATTGGAGAGGAGCGGCTGGAGAGCGCGAGCGGGGGGGGGAGGGGGAAGGGGAGAGAGAACCCGGCCGGGCTCGGCCCGCCTCCTGGCTTTCTCTGCGCCGAGGCTGTTCTTTGCCGCCGCCGCCGCCGCGTGGGCCTGGCGATCGCCTGCCTCCTTCCCCCCCCTCTGGGGCCGCCCGGCTGGGACACGTGTCCTTGGATCGGGCGGATCTGGCCTGCTTTTCCGGCAAGCCGGGCCGGCCGGCCGGCGCTGGGCGAAGGAGGAGAGGCGGCCCGGAGCAGGAGGGAGAGGAGAGAGGAGGAGGGGGGGGGCGGTCTCGGGTCCCCTTCGCTCCCACGTGCTCTCCGCGGGAGGGGTCGAGCTGAAGTCCGTCTCGCCTTTTTGCTCGGCGGGGCGGCCGGATTTGGGGTCGGGAGGGAGGGGTGCTCTTTGGAAGGGTGAAGACCCGGCTGCGGGCTGTGAAGCTGTTTTCCCCCCCTCCCCAAAATAGGCCTGTCCATCCTTTTTTTTTTTTCCAGCTGCCTTCTGTCTCTCTCCCCCCCCCCCTCCCGCCGCCCTTTCCCAAAGGGGCTGTTAGGGAAAGCCTCTCTCCCTTTGTAACGATGTAAAGGATAAATAAGGCCTTGGCATCTTGCCTGGCTGCTCCTCCTCTTCTGGATTCTTTTATTTGGTGGGTCTCCCAATTTTTTTTTTTTGGGGGGGGGTAGTGGTGGTGGTGGTGGTGGTGGGAGAAAGGAATGGCGGGGTCTCCTTTTGGTGGTGTCTCCTTTTGCCTCTCCCGCCTTTGCCATATGTTTGCCCTGTTCTGGGCGAGGGAAGGAGGCTCTGCTGGTATCTTAACCTGGTTTTTTTTTCCCCCAGGCTTCCCTTGGAATGTCTGACTTGGCTTTGACAGGTGTTTGTAGCAACAGACGGTGGGAGCTGGGTGCCTGCAGTTAAAACTCTTTTAATTTTCTTGGTAGGCTGCTTGACTGCCGCCGAGGTGGGGATCCTGTGGGGGTGAAAGGGACTTTTTTGCCGTGTGGAGCAACTCCAACTCTCCTTAATGGGGGAAGGAGGACATTTTGAACCTCTCCTGCACGTTTCCTGGTTTTGGGTGTAATTCGGGCCTTTAAGGGAAGCCGGGTTCCCAGGAAAGTTGGTAATTTACAGATCACATTTTGTCCTAGCCAGCTCTTTTTCTAGGCTACTCCTGGGATGGGCAGAATCTACATTTATTTTGATAAGAGCGTATTGGATTAGTAGAAGGAAGAGAGCAGCCTGGTAATCGAGTTTTCTCTAGCAAGACAGGCTGCGCGGAGGGAATACAGTGGTTCTCCTTTATAACTCTGGAGACATGGGTGTGTGCCTCAAAAGAAGGGCTGGGGAAATATTTGAAATTCCTAAGCTACAGGATAAAGACATTTAGGAACGAGTCCTGAATAGGGATGGAAGGAGTCACTTAATGTAAAAACAGTTACCTGCTTTTCATCCCTGTTCAGTAGCCGGTAATGTCCTGGCAAATAAGTTTTGAAAACAAGTTAGATGCTAGCTTCTTTTGACTCTTGAATTACTAAAAATCATCATTTATAAGGTGCCTCCCATTGTCTTTCTCGGGCCACGTTTTTCAAGTAGTTCCTTTGGGAATTACGTCCCTTAGCAGGGAAAGTTAAGGTAGTCCTCAACTTACACGACCATAGTTGAGCCCCAAATGTATGTTGTTAAGTGAGAAATTGGTTAAGTGAGTTTTGCCCCATTTTATGATTTTTCTTGCCAGTTTTGAATCATGGCAGTTCAATTAGTAACATGGTAATTAAGTGACTCTGGCTTCCCCATTGACTTGGTTTGTTAGAAGGTTACAAAGGGGATCACATGACCCCAGGACACTGCAGCCGTCATCCATGTGAGTCAGTTGTCCAGCACTCGAATGTAAATCATATGACCACATGGGGGATGCTGCAACGGTTATAATTGCAAAACAATCATAAATCACTTTTTACGGTGCCATTGTAACTTCGATCGGTCCCTAAGCAAACTGTCGTAGGTTGAGGACTTTTGATAAAGGAGAATGTAGCTCGGGGTTGAAATGAGGGGTCCTTGGTGGTGTCTGACCTTGGTTGTTTCCTTGCAAGCCAAAGGTTGTTTTCTTAATGCCCCCCCCCTTGAGTAGCCTGTCTGCTGTCTGATGAATTCAGGGTCC